TGGCCTTCAGGGACAAGGGCGAAAAATCTCCGAGGTCCCATGTGCAAGTTGCCCACGTTAAAGATCCCTTGGTGGTCCAATATCGACAAAGAGTAGGCTTCGGCCGTCACCCGTGCAAAATTCAAATTTCCTACCTATTGAAAATGTTTGGTGTTTCCCACGCGCTCATATGACCTTTTGCAGTTGCGAGCGCCGTAAAAAGTAAAACGCTGACCAAAAAAAAAAAAAAAAAAGTACTCCCGAGTCACTGTCCTCCATCAGTAATATATTGGATTAACACTAAGAAAAAGTACCATTCAACAGCGGTAGTGGTACGGCAGGTCAAGCAAAAAGAGCTTTAACCCGTGGCATCGGTGGCTTAGTAGTTAGTTAAGCGCCAAGACTAGCAACCGTAAGGTCGTGGGTTCGAATCCCGGCAGGGGCCCGATGTTGTGTCCTTTAGAAAGGCACTTGACACGAATTTTCCTCACTTAACCCAGGTGGGTATGGGTACCCAGATAATAGACAGGAAAGATCTTGTCAGTCTGTTAGTGTTTGAACGCTTAATCCGCTGCTTGCATTGTTACAATTTGTATGCTTCCCGGGAAGCTGAGGACGTTTCTGAGTGTTCTATGGCAGGGATATGCACCTCTATACAAATGCAGTTTATTATTATTTTATTAAATTTAAATAAAATAGTTTTTCCTGGCACTATAACTATAATAATGACCGTAACTGCGCCAACACACTTCTCCGACATGAAACACTTGTCTAGTCGAGAGTTCAGGAGGACTCTTGTGGTGGTGGAAGTAGTAGTACAAGTAGTAGTCGTAGTAAGGTAGCAGTAGTAGTAAAAGTAGTAGTAGAAGTAGAAGTAGTAGTAGTAGTAGTTGTAGTAGTAGTAGTAGTAGTAGTAGTAGTAGTAGTAGTTATAGTAGTAGTAGTTTATTAATAGTAATAGTGTTGACTGTAGAGTAGGGTTTTTTACGCCGATCGCAACTGTTTCGCAAAAGGTCATTATGAGCGCGCGGGACACATTTTTAAAATTTTCAGTTTGATCAATATTGACAGGAATTGGTTTTGAATTTTGGCCGGGTGGCGGCCGAAGCCTACTCGTTGATTTTGGACCACCAAGGGTTTTAACTTTAACGTGCGCTACTGACAGAACCTCCGATATTTTACCCCCTTATATATCCGAGTAGGCTAGATGTTATTGAACTGTTAGTAATATAAAATTTACTACCTATAATTCAGAAAGACAGTAAGTAAAACGGAGCCAAGGAGTAGCAGTAGAAAGGCTGCAGAAAGAGTCCGTGGGAGGGAGGGGTTTGGAGATGAAAGCAGATAGAACATGAATAGTGATAGAGATCAGGAAATGAGGTGAAAGGAGAAAACTTTAGCAAAAAACAAAACAAAACAAAAATTATGTCGCTGTCAGGTTTCAAAGTTAGGAGCTTTTGATTGAGAGGCGAACACTGCATGTAGGCTATAACCCCTAGACCACGAGAGCCCCCGTAGTACAAATAGTACATGTAGCAGTACGTTGCATTAGTTGTTAAGAAGTGAAAAAAATAATCAAACATTTAAAGAAAGAAAGAGAAGAGGGCAACGTGAGTGCTATCGCTGATAACTAAACGCAATATTAGTATAGAGACATGGAGCGGCGATAAAGGTCTCCTTAGTATTAGTTTTAGTAAGATTTTACGACGGTCGCAACTGCATAATAATATGGTCATATACGAGCGCCATAATATAGTTCTGCGATAATCGACAGTAATGGGACTCGATAGCGACTGCACAGAGTAAAATATTTTATCAAATCGCAGTAAAAGTGTATTGGACACAGACAGGTAAATCATGTAGAGTGCAAAGGTAGGATTAATAGGAAGTTAAGTGAAACAGTGGAAGTGAAGCGTTCATTGTTCTTTATCAATGTAAACCCCCCCCCCCCCCCCCCCCCATAAAAATAATGTATTTTGTATTCATCGCAGACGACGTGGCAAAGGAACAAGCCGGTTTCATCAGCACACCCATTTGCGTGACACGTCAAGCAGCCCACCCCGACACAGACGTGTTGCTTTTCGGAACACAAAACAGCCTCGGGCACGTGAACCTGATAGCCATGGAGGCGGGACTCCCTCCTCGCAAGCCCCGCCTACTTTGGGCGGCTGATGTCACCGGCCAACACGCCGGCCCGTCAAGTGGTGATGTGTATTGGACGTTTAGTGGACAAATCGCGAGCATCGCTTTGCCGGAGGACGGAGGCTGGAAGTATGGGTTGATTGTAACCGTTGTAGAAAGTAGGCCCTCATCAAACGAAAGTTTGCTTCATGTGAAAGCCCTCGTGTAGTAAGTGGGGGCTGCTATAATTCCTAACTGAAAGGGAGAAAGGTGAGAATGACAGAAGGAATAGTGCATACTCTGGACTCAACCCCCACCCCCCGGCAAGCACCCAGCAAGTTTTTTCTAGTTTAGTTTTAGTAGAGGTTTTACGGCGCTCGCAACTGCATAATGTCATATGAGCGCCCGAAGATTAGAGGTGTTGCGTAACATTCAGTAACAAGAGAGTAACAAACGTAAAAAGGGAGGGGAGTAAAGGACGATAAAAGTTTGATAGGAAAAGAAGCAAACCACACCACCGCACCCACCAACCAGATTTTTTTAACTAACAATTTACAAAGGCTAAGTGAGACAAAACTGTATGTGTTTTCTGAAACAAGTCGATTACTCTGGTCTTGCTGTCTAAAGCAACCTGTTTCTCTTTGGAATAAAAGAAGAAATGACAGCTTCCAATTTAGACTGGTGAGCGTTTTTTGGATGTTTTTTTTTTCAATTAAAAATAAATAGAAGCATTATATTTAACACAATAACGGCCACAACGTGCAGGGGAGAAACAAGATACATGTATAAATTATGTAGAAACAATAGGAGGAAAGAAAGGAAGTAGGAGTTACCAGTGGCGCACTCTAACTAGTGTGCGTTTAAAACAGTACAAGCAACTGCTGCAGCAAGAAGAGAAAATACATCAATCCACTTGGATTCCAGTCCTAATGCAAAAAATCGGGTTCTTTCTGATTGACAAGTTACGGTCGTGAAAAAGGATATCACTTATTTTCAAACATTGTACCACCAGTGTTTTGCTTGGCAAAATAACCAGAACAAAGTCATTATGAGAACTCCAAAGTCATGGGGAAAGGACCCCCAGTTTCAACATTCACTTTGAATTTTGGTAGACAATGTAGGTGGGGAGTTATAAAAACTCCAAAGACTAGCGAGTCCTTTGAAGAAAATAATGTATTCTCTGTATTTAATTTTATAGAACTCACAACACTACAAAAACATGACCAAAGTTTGTAAGAAACACATAATTGACATTTTTGAAACTTTATTAAAACCAAACTTGAAAAGTGAGAAATCTGTATTAATATACATTACATCCTGTTTAAAGTTTAAGATGAATTAATGAAGAAAAAAGAATAAAAAATCAAAAGAAGCACAAAATAAACCAATAGGTTGTTTGTTCTTAGATTCAACCAATAATAACAAAAACTCAGCCTGGCAAACTACCTGGTACCAGTGCATTGATGGTTCAAAAAGAAGTGCATCATTCAAGTTGTTTCTCCAAACTCCCATTCTCTAACTCTTCCATAAAAATAGATAACATTTCATTAGCATTTAAGCCAAATAATTACACAGACTAACAACGCCCCAATCATTAATGATTCTTTCTTTCAGTGGCAGACTCCCACCTTGCACTATGGGACTCCCACCTTACACCATGGGAAAGCAAAGTATTGATATTAATTAAAAGCAATCAACGACTGTTCATGGATTTCATAAATTATAACTACCCTATAAAATCTATTGCTTTTAATCCTATAAAAAGTTCTATAATTAAAAATTGCCATATCAAGAAAATATATTGGACTAAAAAATGTCATGAAACAAGTCACACAGGACATCACCAGCCTGATACTATAATGAAATGTGATAATGTAAAGTTGCTATAAAAATCTGAAAATTTGTAAAAACTGTTTCTCAAAAATGAATACTGCACATCATTTGGACTATTTACAATGATGACTCAAAGACAAACACTAAATGACATATCATTTTTGCTATTTACAATAATCAATATAAACGGTTTGATAATTCATAACAATATATGAACACATACTGCATACAGCTACCATGTAATAGAAAGAAAATAGAACCTAACAAAATACTGTCTTGAAAATTTCGAAAGGCACAAGCTGGTAATTAATGTTACTGTACTTTTTAATCAAACCAAACTGACACAACTGCTATGATTTGGCCTGCATTTTACCAGAGCAGAGCAAAGTAGTGCAAGTAACAAATTTCTTGATATTTGGAAGACAATATCTGCATAAAAGGAATGTGAGAAGACAAAAAAAGGTCCTGTGACTGGCATTGTAACATTTTACAAAAAGCAGGCATGCCACCTTCCCACCCCCAACAATTATAGAAAACAAAAATAGGCTGGCCTAATAGCTAGCATAAATCTTGACACGAGATAGCCCAATGCACAATAAAAAAACAAACGAAACAAAAAAACCAAAGAGAAAAACGAAAACATAGACCCATCCCAGATGACCACACGAGACCTTGACCCCTGTGCATATTATTGAAATACATTACTCTCAATACTCTAGACCAGCCAGTTGTTTTGAAATGGACATCTTCAGGTACTGAATTATACACACACAGGACCTAAGAACTATAACCAAAACCCAAAACAATGTGACATAATAAAAACAGAAACGGGGGTTAATGAACTTGCTGTGGATGTACCTGCAAAGGCAAAGGCTACCACAAACGGGTCACTGCATCTGGTCTCTTGTACATGTTATCCACCAACCTAACAATTCCATTGTAAAAAATCTTCACAAAAATACGCTGCCCAATTGGTTTTTATAAAATTTTATATAAATTTATGAAGAAAAGGTTTTTTTAAAAATCTAGCCTCAATTGGGGGGGGGGGCCGGCAAAGAGACATTTGAGGGTAAGTTGCTCCACGGATGTTTGACCTCACATCAGTATCAAAACAAAGTAACCAAAGTTGGATTCTTGTATTAGCAACTGCCTTCCGTGGCAAAGAAAGTTCTCGAAAACAGCGATGGCCTTAAACACAAAAAGCTATTACTAACGAATGAAAAAAAAAAGACATACTTTGGGTATGGAACCATCACTGCTCCACCAACAAATTGCAATGGCAAATCTGAAAATATTATCTCATAAAAATCAGTTTGCTGTAATTATAATTTGGGGGTGGAAATCAGGGTCACAGACGAGACAATGAATGGAATGTACTTTTCAAAAACACAACCAAAAGAGTAAATTAAAGAAAACTGTCACAACCGAGAGAAGAACGTCACACATTTTCACTGACCATTTTAACGCTAATCTGTTTCACTGAACTATTAACATCTACACTTAACATGAACATTTCCCAAACACATTAATTACACATGACTGAATAAAAATTTGTAAATGGCAAAGGAAAGCAGAAAGAACACCTAAGGCAGCTATCTAACTATGTTTACTTCTGCTCCACAACATTGTCATTTAGACAAAGTTATGAGGAATTATGATCAACTATAATTACTATTCAAAGTGACCGACTACAGACCTGCAGTTGCTTGGTTTTTGCTCACCAGCGGACCCAAAGACATGAGAATAAACATGCTCATTGTGACATATAGTATGGACCTAGTACAAAAAGTGTGGGTCAAATTTTACAAAATCAAAAACTTTTGACACATACTGAACAAGTTTGTAAAATACAGTCTTACAAACCAAAAAAGAATCTTTCAACAATGATGCTGGAGGTACAATAATGATCACATAAAATAAAAACTTAATTTATTATAAAGAAGCAGGGTAAAAAAAAAAAAAAGAATACTGAAAAGTACAATTTTAATACAGAAAAAAAAAATCACCACCAACCAGCACACCACAAAAAGATGACCACTCACTACTCGGTCAACGGCTACCAGTCAGGAGACTTTTTGAGGCACCATATATCCCTCTGGCAGTGGGGCTTGGGGTGGAGCAAGGGTTCACCGTGGGTACTTGGCTGCAGTGGAAGGCCGTGCGGCCTGCTGAACGAGGGAGTGAGGAGGGGGCAGAAGACTGCGAGTCGCTGGACGATCTTGGTGCGGGAGTAGGGCGGCCTACAGGAGAAGTGCGGAGCCTTGTGCTGTTCCTCGGGGTTCTGAGCACACAGTCCACTGTACTGATGTAGTCACCGAGGGGACAGTACTTCACCGTGTGAGCTTTAGGGCCAGTGGCACCACACTTGGGGCAGATGAACCTGAGGAACCAAAGCAGGAGACATTTGTAACATCTGATGGCAAGGACAACTGGAGGAGGCATTACATGGGTCAAATGTGGAGTACAGAAATGTTTTTTATTCTATGCTCAGGGATGGAAACATCAGTCCAAAATTTACTGAGAGAGATAGAGAGAGAGAGAGAGAGAGAGAGAGAGAGAGAGAGAGAGAGAGAGAGAGAGAGAGAACAGGACCAGAGTCACTTCCAACCCCCCTCTCCCCATTCAACAAATATAAAAAATGACACTGTGCAAGATGTCAACCTGTCCAAGACAAATACACTATTCTACTCAGTGTGGGCCTATATTGTATTCATGGTAAGCTTCCCAGGAAGTTGAGATTGTTTCAAAATACTATCAGATCTGCTGGGAGTTTGTGCTCACTACATATACACAAATGCTATCTATACTACTCAACAATAATTACAATAGGAGGCCGTCTTTGAAATTTTCAACTAGATCTACACGTGTATTTTGATGTCCTCATGGTTTTATGCACCCCTCATAATTTAGCAAAATTTTATCATTTTTTGCATAATTTCTCAATATTTTCCTTTATCATTCTTTGTTAAAAATTAACAGAATCGCATAATTCCACATTTTTGGGCTCAGTTTGCATAATTTTAGAATTTTTCTAGCATAAAACGACAGCAGGGATAAATTTTGTACTCACTTTTCCAAAATAGGGCATATGACCTCCCCGCGTTCGTTCTTGATGACATGGGTGTTGTACACTGCTGGTTCCTCCTTGTTGTTACGGCAAAAGACGCAGAACTGCTTCTTGCCAAGGGGCTTCATGGTTCCCAGCACGCGACGAGCCTGGACATGGGCAAGTTTCAAACAGTTACTTGAAGAAATTTTTGACAATTTGAGCTTTGTCCGAGTCTCTTGTTTCTATTTCAGCGAGTGCCATAGAAAGATAAGTGGATAGACATGTAGAGAGAGAGGGAGAGAGAGGAGAGAGAGAGAGAGAGAGAGAGAGGAGACGAGAGACAGAGACGAGAGGACAGAGAGAGAAATGTATCTTGAAAAGTAGTTCAAAGCTTCCTGCAAAATGGGACCTGATCATTCATATATATATATATGGGAAGTGTGAAGAATACCGGACCACTCGTACATTATTGCGCGATAAAGTGGGGTATGTGGGGAGGGTGGTTGGGGTGGAGGAGGGGGGAGGGCAGGTTCAGGGGGGTCTCCCCCCTGACAAAATTTTAATGAATAGATCTACCGGTCCGAGATTCTCCATTGAGAGATATTAAAAACGGGAAAATTATGAATTCCTAAGGTTGAAACACAGGCAAAGTCAGTCCGCTGGTCCGGTATTCTTCAAGGCCATTCTTCAATCTTACCTACTCGTTCATCCTATAGGCTATATGAATACTCTTTGGATCCTAGAGGCCCCACAATATGTACGTTCTAAACTGCCGGGTCGGAATGGAAAGGCAAACATGGGAGCAGAACCGTAGATACGGATGAAAAATGGGTGGGGAGAAAGAAAGACACATAGAGAAGGGGAAAGAGAAGGCGACCAAGAGAGAGAGACTAGAGAGAGATGGGGGGGGGGGGGGGGGGGGAGGGAGAAAAAAGAAAGGGAGTTAGTGGGGGAGGGGCGAATAGAGAGAGACTGCTCGATTGAAATTTCGAAGTGGCTATTCCAGTGCGCAATCACCGTTTTGTACCGTAAGCAAAGTCTACTGGAGTCCGAATGGTTTCCTGTTGCTATTCGGATTTTAAACTACTTTTAATCTAGATCTAGATCTAGATCTAGAATCTAGATCCTAGATCTAGATCTAGCTAGATTATTACACTAGGCGGCCTACGTTTCACGACTACAAAAGGATCACGGCGAACATAAAATTCATAACGAAGTGTATACAGACCCGGTAGTGTGTGTGTGTGTGAGAGAGAGAGAGAGAGAGAGAGAGAGAGAGAGAGAGAGAGAGAGAGAGAGAGAGAGAGATCAGAAGGAAGTGCTAGCAAAATGGATAAGACATCATGCCCCAGTTGGCAGGAGAGAATGAGAGAAAGATAAGAGTGGAAAATGGGTGGGGAGAAA